CGGGTTAGCCACGCCATCTCTGACGGGTCTCTCTACAAAACCGGTGACCATGTCATCACGGGTCATCACACAAAAAAAAAAAAAAAACAACACCAACACGGAACGTCAGAAAAAAACGAAAAAAAATGACAACACAGATAGAAATGTTTGTCCGTGCGCCACTGGTCGATGTCGCCCGCATGCTCCGGTGCCATTTCGCCATTTCTCCATCCGGCGCCGCTGTAGTCAGCCCGAGCAAAACGTCACTCGACCTGCTCCGTCCGTACACGCTCTCGTTGCTGTCCTTCCCAGTCCTTTCCTCGCTTTCTCCCTCATTGCACTCAAGGTTCTTGGTCTGAAAAAAATAAAAATTCTCGCGCCGAATGGTCAACCAGCCTAGTTCAGCTCGTCGCCACCTGCTCCCTCCTCCTTTGATGGCGAAGCCAGGTTACTGAGGCAATACAGCTCCCTCTAGCAAACCTAGGGCCGTGTAGTGCCCGTCCACCTTTCTGATGNCGCTTTCTCCCTCATTGCACTCAAGGTTCTTGGTCTGAAAAAAAAAAGAAATCTCGCGCCGAATGAATGGTCAACCAGCCTAGTTCAGCTCGTCGCCACCTGCTCCCTCCTCCGTTGATGGCGAAGCAATAACCCACCCCCTGGACCGATTTTCAAGGCTCGATTATTCAAAAGCAGCAACAGTCGCAGGGCCGAGAACGGCGGCGTTAGAGCCGTCTGATTAATTCCTTTTTGTAAACGTACCCTTTCGTCTATCTACATGCATCCTCTTGGTCGTGGGATAGTCGAGCTTTGAAAATCGGTCCAGGGGGTGTGCATCTTGTGTCATTTGTTGGTACTATACACACAGCAGTGTACAGCTTTTTTTTTTCTGTCTTCACTTCAAGTCAGCGCTCGCCAGCACTGGTGCCGTTCACTCCAACCCGTGGTCACACAGAAGAGCCCCTCTCCACCCTCCCCTCCTGCGGTACATTGCCTTCGATTTTAATGCGAGAAGAGTTCAGCACTCTCTTCCCTCTGTGTACACACGAACTAGCGCTATTCGCTTGGCCAGGAGCACCGGTCGCCCCGGCCCGGTGGTCTAGTGGCATCCTCGTAATCCGCTTGTCGCAGAGGTCGTGAGTTCGAATCCCCATGGGGTGAAAAATTTACGAAATATGCGGGTGAAAGCGAAGTATAGATAAAAAGCTCTCGTGAGTGCCAAACTTCGACGTTAGCACCGTTGACGAGGNTCGCTTGGCCAGGAGCACCGGTCGCCCCGGCCCGGTGGTCTAGTGGCATCCTCGTAATCCGCTTGTCGCAGAGGTCGTGAGTTCGAATCCCCATGGGGTGAAAA